TAACACAAAAGCAACAAGACTTCTAGTTACACCCACAGATTTCTAGTTACACCCACACAGAGGAGAATATGCCTCACAGTTAAGCTGTACCAAAGCACCCAACACTGAGGAAGCCCTGCAGCAGCTCCAGCCCCTCTCCAGATTCCCCACTGTTAAAAAGGGAGCAGAGCAAACCCTTCAAGTGTTTATCAATGGGTTCTTTAATGAAATATCAATATTCAAGGAGAGAAAAGACGAAGCATTTCCGCATCCGAGGGATAAAGAGGAGAGGTCTAACAGACTTTTCAAACAGGCAGATCATAGAATCACTAAGGTTGGAAAAGACCTCCGAGATCCCCAAATCCAACACTCCAACCCAACATGGCCACTGCCCCGTTCCTCAGTGCAACATCCCCACAGTTCTGGAGCACCTCCAGGGATGCTGACCCCACCACCTCCCTGGGCAGCTGTGCCATTGCAGCACCACTCTTAGGGGAGAAATGTTTCCTAACATCCAACCTGAACCTGGCACAACTTAAAGCCATCACCTCTTGTCCTATCTGTAGTTATCTGGGAGAAGAGACTGACCCAAAACTTGAAACCTTTCCAGATGTTGAGAGCAAGAAGGTTCCCCCAAGCCTCCTCTTCTCCAGACCCAGCAATCCCAGTTCCCTCCCCATAAGACTTGCTTTCCAGAACCTTCACAGCTCCCTTGCCCTTCTCTGGACACAATGGAGAAGTCATAAAGCAAGCACTCCACTGCTCCCCCCAAGCTGTGCTCATTGCTCAGCAAGGCACTACAAAACCCTCCCTGGTCTCTAAATTAAACGCATCTTCATCCCTCCTTGCCCAGCCCTGAGCAAGTTTTCTACCAACATCAACAGCCATTTCATCACCCAATGACCATGGATTATGCACACAGACTCACAAGAGGCTCCAAATCTGAAACACATTTCAGCCTAGAGTGAAAGCACTAATATTTGCTATGTGCCCTTCCTGCTGAAACCACAACTCAGCCTCTGCACGTCTTCTCATTTCACTTCACACCTTTAGGCTGCAGGCAGGCACATCAGCTCAAGGACGGGCAAAGGAGGTGTGCATCAACAAGGAGCTCAGCAGCATTCTCAGAGTTTCCATCCTGGGGCAGCAAGAGAGCACAGCAGCCAAAACAGCAAGCTTTATCCCCGTGTTTATTATCAGTAACTCCTTTCTTTCCTAATATTAATATATTATGTAATGGGGCTATCAAACAACACAGTTCTGCACATTCTTGGCATCAAGACTTTCCCCTGTTCAGAATGAGATACACAGTGATCAAATCTCAGAATCACACCGGTTTTTAATCAATCTCTTTGGATTTGCAGGATCATTTACACCCCACAAGTTGCAGCTGCTCTCTGTTTCTGTTCTTCACCTACTATACATTCAGTGTGGGTTATGACCCAGGAAAGCATTACTTAAATCAATAGTATTTGAGGGGGGGGGAACTCAAAATGACTACATATTCTTTGTTCTCTTAGTACCTTACTAGAAGTAGTCAGGCTTCAGGGGAAAACACAGCTTGTGACTCACCTCAATTTGCATTTTACTTCATCAAACAATTGCAATTAGGCGACCAAGTTTGATTTTGACATTCATGCCTTCAGACTGACATCCCTGAAAGGGGAGCCCTTTCCACCTGCTTCTATCACAGAACCAAAGGGCAATGCTTCACCTGCTGTCCCTGAAGCACTTCCCAGTGTGCTCCTGCAGAGCTGACAGGTCACTTGGCAATGGCTCACTTCCAACTGTCATTAACCTGACGCGTTGAAGGCTGATGAAAATCAGAGTCACTCAGGTTGGAGAAGACCTCTCAGATCCTCAAGTCCAACCCCAGCCCACCCCACCATGCCCACATCCCTCAGTGCCACATCCCCACGTTCCTTGAACACCTCCAGGTTTGGTGACCCCACCACCTCCTGGGCAGCTGTGCCACTGCAGCACTGCTCTTTATGAGGAGAAATGTTTCCTAATAGCCAACCTGAACTTCCTCTGGCACAACACGAGGCCATCGCCTCTCATCCTATCAAACAGACAAAAGAAATATAAGATCTCAAGCACGTATCGATTGAAAAGTACTCATACTGACCTTTTTTGAATTGAAAGCAAAGAGGCAGGAGTGCAAGCACTGAGTTAAGTGGTGTTTGGGGATAGGTGGGAGCAACGGCACAGCCGTGGAAGCAGCTCTCACTGATCCAGCCCAGCTGCAGAGCACCCAAACACAGAACCCGACAGTCGCTTTCTCACAAATAAACACTGGCAAGGATTCTTGCACCACAGAATTACTGAAGAGCCATTCAAAACAAACACAGCATGTGATAGGCGAAGGCTACTCTAATGTACTCACTTTCTACCTGCAAACAGCAAGGCAGCACTGGAGACAAGGGCCCTGCTCTCGTCAGGGAGGTTACGATGACTTAGGGATTCTTGCAGAAGAGCCATCTGGATTATTTATAGTGCCACTAGGCAGGGCAGTGCAATCATTCACACACGGACCTCATGGCACCCAGAAGCTCAACTGCTGTTTTTGCAGGAAATATCAGGCTGAAGTGATTCAAAGTCAAACATTACAACGTACCAAATCACAGCTCTAGGAAATTATACCCAAACTGCCAGCCAGCATCATGCCCAATCAGTTCTAAAGATGTGCACAGATGAAAGAAAGCGTATGGAAGTTGCCAAGGTGAAGTGGAAATGCATATTATTGTGCCTTTATTTATAAGCATAGACAAGTCTACTATAGAATTAAACATTCCCTCCCTGCACAAAGGCAACAGTCTTTCTATACACAAGCAGGTTTCTTTGACATCTGCCTTTCCCTGCAAAGGCTGAACCAGCCCCTGCTCACAGCCATTGGTACTGCACGCATTTTACACACCTCCCAATCTCAGGTTCTTGATGGAGCTCTCTGAAAACACCAAAGCATGAATCAGAGCTAACAAGCTACCAATTTATTTTTAAACACAAAGAGAGATTCACCAATAAGCCATTCACCTTCAATGTCATCTACTGCGTGCAGAAGCGATACAGGAATGGCACTTCCTTGTTGCTACAGGTCAAAGACTCCTGCAAAACCAGCCCTGTGCACCGACTGCACCAGGAGCTGCCACAGCAGTCACCTCTGCATTCCTGCACCACCAACGTTACCACTGCAACAGAGGAAACCCTGAGAAAGTCTGAAAACCAGAGCTACCAGCAGCAGTGTGAGAGAACCCGTTTTCAGACAGATTGCTCAATCACTGGGCTGTAACAACGCAGAGAGCAGCTACCCGGGGAGGTGACTGAACCCACTGTAAGAGTTCACCAGCTTCCCTTCACGAGTGGGCTGCCTTTTAAAGGTGTTCATCTACAGTCTCCATTTCAACTGGCATCGCCTGCACGCACACCTTCCCATCAGGTTTCCTTATCAAACAACCACATACAGAAGAACTCAGGAAACAAACCACTTAATGTATCTTCATACAGCTAATACCACATAGAAAACCTATTTGCCCCCCAAAATCTGCTCCATTCCACCGTGAAGATGGAAGCACGACCCAACTCATGTCCACAGTCACCATAGCTAGACTTCTACTTGGAAGTTTAGGAAATAGAACTCATTTTTAGCATACATGTTCTACGAACAGTTACCTACTCCAGAAATACCAATGGGGATCAATCTGCTGATAAATGCTTCCAAAGCCTGCTGCTGCACATTCGTCTATCAGCCTGGTAATATTCTGCCTGAAAGCTTAAAATTTGCAGTGGTTAAGCCCAAGGACTAATTATTAAAGTCACTGGCCATTAGAACAGCTCTCTGGAGCAACAGCCACTGCTGACTTCACAACCCAAGACACCAACTATTTTTAACTGAGAATGGAAACGAACCTTCCCAGAGAACTCCAAATACCACGCCACGTGATCTGGGCCAGAACTTGACAAGCAACACAGAATTACACTATGGCCCTGGCAGCAAAAGAAATACAGCCTTCAACAGCCAAAGTATGAGATGTCAAGAGACAAGATGAAGCCACCATCGTGACCCTACCAAAACAACCCCTCAGCAAAACTGCAGATTGCAGCCTGAAGAGTCTTCAGACGACTGTCTCTTGGCACATTGCTGCCCTTCAAACCCAAACATGCCTTATTTAACTTCAAATTATTCAAGTTTTGTCTATGAATGCCTTTTTACATTCTATAATCCTGGCTATAGTTCTCATGGTGACATTTGGGCACCAACAGGGAAGAACTGGCATGTGTGTTCTACTACCCTTGGACAACAGCTGCATTGCCTGATAGTATACTTACAGTATTAAATGTGGATGTTGGTGGCCCTGCATATGGCAGGGAGGTTGGAGATTCATGATCCTTGAGGCCCCTTCCAACCCAGACCATTCTGTGATTGGATTTGCATCAACCACACAAAGCCAGATCCAATTCAAACCAACAGAAACATTCCCTTTGCTTCCGACACGTGGTTGGTGCTTACACCCATCACACCACCACAAGATACCACGGGGGCTTTGATTCTCTTTGATTGCCCCCAAAAAGCATTTGCTAAGAACCGCTCATCTCATCTGATTTGCAAAACAAGATGGTGTCAGGGGATCCCCGAGCGGTTTTAATAACAAAAGGCTTTAAAAGCTCACCTAGCCTCAACCCCTGTCATAGAGACACCTCCTTCTGGGGCTGCCCAAAGCCCCATCCATGGCTCTGCCTGGGCGCTGCCAGGAATAGGCTGCCCAGAGCTGTGGGTGCCCCATGACAGAGCCTCACTGCCCTATGAATAAAGAATGTTAGCCAGCTAACGTTCAACCTGAACATCCCTTCTTTCAATCTAAACCCATCGACCCTTTACCCTATCGCCACGAAAAAAACCCTTCCCTTCAAGAATCCAGATGAAAAACAACAAAATATCGTGCAAAAAAAAAACAACCAACCAAACAAAAAAACCCAACAAGCAGAAAGGCCCTTTAGGCACAAGGCCTCCCGAACGGCGTTACTTCCAAAGGGAAATCTCCGCACACCCACAGGGGACCGCGGAGGGACGGCACTGACCGATGGTGGAAATGAAGGTGGTGTTGAAGGCATCGTCGGAGAAGCGGAAGAGCACGCAGGTCTTGCCGACCCCCGAGTCCCCGATCAGCAGCAGTTTGAAGAGCAGGTCGTAGGTTTTCTTCGCCATGGGGAGCGGCTGCGGCCTCCTCCCGCTCGCCCCCCCCCGCACCCAGCGGCCGCCCCGGCTCCCCCCCTGCCGGCAGCAGCCCGGCCCGCGCCGCTCGCTGAGGGCGGCGGCGGAGAACGACGACGACGACGACGACGAAGAGGAGGAGGAGGAGGGAGGGAGGAGGAGGAAGGAGGCCCACAAAATGGCTTCCCGCCGCGCTCCTCGCGCCCGCTGCTGCTTCTCCTCACGGGGAGACGGCGGCGCTCGGCCTCATAACCCCGCGGGTCGGCTCTGCTCGCTGCGGCCCGGCCCTCGCACGGCGGCGGCTCCTCAGCGGCGCCCGGTAAGCGCGCAGGCCGCCAGGCGAGGCCGTGACGTCAGCATGCACGCACACACGCACGGACGCACGCGAGCCCCGCCTCCCCTGTGTCAGGCCATGGGCTGCGAGCCGATGACGTCACGGAGGAAGGGCGAAGTCTCTCGCTCGAGGCGGAAGTCCCACCTTCCCGTTCATGCGATTGGTTGCAGGTCCTGTATCTCTTTTCTCCAGACAGGGGAGTGGGCGGGGCGGAGTGCTCCCCCTGCTGGCGGGGTGAGGCGGGGCGGACTGAGCGCTGCCTGGGTTTTCTCCCTGGGTCTCCTCGGTGCCCCACCCGGTGCTGCGGCGCAGGCCGTGGCTCCTCGGCCATTACAGAGCTCTTTGCTGTATGGAGAATCACACATCACAAAATGGCCAGGGCTGGAAGGGACATCAAGGATCATGAAGCTCCAAATCCCCCACCACAGGCAGAGCCACCAACCTCCACATTTCATAGCAGCCCAGGCTGCCCAGAGCCCCATCTAACCTGGCCTTGAACACCTCCAGGGATGGACGGGGCATCCATGTGGGCAGCTGTTCCAGCACCTCACCACTCACAGTAAAGAAGTTATAAAGTCATAGAATATCCCCAGTTGGAAGGGACCTGTGAGGATCATGGATCCAACTCCTGCACACAGGGACACCTGTATCCAAACCCTTTGTCTGGTCAGGAGCAGTGTGCAATTGTGTCCTCAGCACCACCAGGTTTTAGGCAGGTTTTCCTTCTCTGACAGAAGACCTTCTGACATCCCACCTGAGCTTCCCTTGACTCAGATTTAAGCCATTCCTTTGGGACGTATCCCCACACCATCCAAAAATCCCAAAGATTTGTTAGAAAAACAACTCACGCTGTGCCTCAGAAGGAACCTCTGCTCAGTGATGGATGCACGCTGATCTTGGACTGGTTATCAGGAAATATTTCTTCTCCAATAGAGCAGTGATGCAGTGGCACAGCTGCCCAGGGAGGTGGTGGGGCCACTGTCCCTGGAGGTGTTCCAGAACCGTGGCGATGTGGCACTGAAGGATGTGGGCATGGTGGGATGGGCTGGGGTCGGACTTGGGGATCTTGGAGGTCTTTTCCAACCTGAACGATTCTATGATTTTTATCATAGGGTCACAGGGGTTGGAAGGCACCTCTAGGAATCATCAAGTCCACCTCCCTGCTAAAGCAGGTTCCCTACTGTAGGTTGCACACAGGAAATTGTCCAGATGGCTCTTGAATATCTCCAGAGAAAGTGACTGTGAAGGTGAAAACAGGATCCAGCTTGCAGCTGGCCCCCAAAGAATTGCTAGGACAAGCAGATCACTGGAGGTTTGCACCAATTTGTATAATAACCTCTTTTACCAGAGGGTTTAGTTTACAGTGAAGATCCAAGAAATTTTATCTTTTAGGCTCCAAGAGATGAAGTAACTTGACATTTGGAGCTCTTAGAGCGGGTCCAGAGGAGGGCACTAAGATGATCAGAGGGCTGGAGCACCTCTCCTATGAAGAAAGATTGAGGGAACTGGGCTTGTTTAGCTTGGAGAAGAGAAGGATCCAGGGAGACCTCACTGAGGCCTTCTTGTACTTGAAGGGAGCGTACAAACAGGAGGGGGAACGGCTGTTTGTGAAGGTGGATAATGATAGGACAAGGGGGAATGGTTTTAAACTGAGACAGGGGAGGTTTGGGTTGGATATGAGGAGGAAGTTTTTCAGCCAGAGGGTGGTGAGGCACTGGAACAGGTTGCCCAAGGAGGCTGTGGATGCCCCATCCCTGCAGGCATTCAAGGCCAGGCTGGATGTGGCTCTGGGCAGCCTGGGCGGCTGGTTGGTGACCCTGCACACAGCAGGGGATTGGAACTGGATGAGCATTGTGGGCCTTTTCAACCCAGGCCCTCCTATGATTCTATGGTTCTATGCAAACAAAGAGTATTTTCTCCCTGGCCTCTAGGACTGACCCTGATGTTGATGTTACCACAAGGGATCCAGTCCCACGGAGTCATAGAACTGTCAAGGTTGGAAATACCTCTAAGAACATCATGTCCAACCACCAGCCCACCCCCACCACATCCACTGATATCCTTCAGTGCCACATCCACATATTTCTTGAACACCTCCAGGGACAGTGATTCCACCATGGCTCTGAGTACCTGAGCTTCCAATACCTGGCCACTCCTTCTGAGAAGAGTCCTATAAGTCGTTAGAAGACACTCTGTCAAGGACAGTCATACTCTGTGCCTGTTCATTAAATTCTGGTCTAGAGATCATCATCACAAGGCTGGTGAATTTGGGTATGTTCAGTGAGAGGCAAAGCCATTCCCACAACTCCCTCCACCACATCCTTCCAAAGATTTCCTTCCTGATACCAGGAGGGTATCAATCTGATGTGTTAACTGAGGAAAAGGGAGGTGAGAGGCGATGGCCTCAAGTTGCACTTGGGGAGGTTTAGGTTGGATATTAGCAAACATTTTTTCTCCAACAGTGGTCAGGCATTGGCTCAGGGAGGTGGTGGGGTCACCGTCCCTGGAGGTGTTTCAGAACCATGGGGGTGTAGCACTGAAGGATGGGGGTCAGTGGGCATGATGAAGTGGGATGGACTTGGACTTGGGGATCTTAGAGGTCTTTTCCAACCTTCATGATTCTATGATTCTATGAAAGCAAGAGCCAACAGGATTCAGCAGCCTCTCCTCAGTTGAACACCCAAGGTTGCAACACTACACTGAAGGTTCATTGCCCATGAGATCTTGCTGTGGGGAGGGGAAAAGTGAATCACAAGTTGTGCAACAGTATTTGTGTTTGGGAAGGTCTGCTCAAACAGAGCTGCAACACTCTGGGTTTGGTGGTGAGTAAATCCTCTCACAAAGCTGGACCCAGCCCTGCATGTACACAGGGATGGGAAAGATCTTTGTCATCCAGGAGACATCACCAGCCCCATGGCCTCAGCACACAGCTTTGTTTTCTGGAGCCAGGGCAGGAGCAGACATGGTTTCTGGCCCCCTAGAATGGGCCCCAGAGTCGCTTGCAGCTCCCACAGATTTGGGAACTGCTAGAACGGGAAACCACAAAGACAGGCTGTGGATGCCCAATCCCTGGCAGTGCCCAGAGTCAGGCTAGATGGGGCTTTGGGCAGCCTAGTTTGGTAGGAGGTGTCCCTGTGGCAAGGGTTGGGGCTGGGTGGGCTTTTAGATCTCTTCCAGACCATTCTGGTTTTCTGTGACTCAGCAAGGTCAGGATCCTCCTTGGGGCAGGCATTAACAGCCCCAGATGCTCAGCATGCTTTCTGAGGAGGAGCAGAAAGGAGCTGAAATGACTCTACCTCCTGCCATGCAGCGTGGTGCCAGTGTTTGGAGGATGGGCTGGAGCTCAGTGTGGCTGCTGCCATAGCTACTGGTGGGGTCAGGGCTTCACCAGCTGGGTTCCTGCTTTCTTGCCTCTTCCCACATCTGTGCCCCAGCCCAGCTGCAGCGGAAGGCCAGAGAAGAAGAGGAACAAGAAAGCCAGCTCTATGCCTCTGAAAAGAGACTGTCTCTTCCCAAATTCTGTCCTCACAGCCACCCTGGCATCAAGAGCAGAAGTACAGAAGTGCTTCATCAGCACTTGAAGGCAGCAGGAAGGATGCAGAGGTCACACAGAGCCCAGCCAGCATGCAGCAGAGGGGCACAGACTGCCAAGGACATCCTGTGAGCCCAAGGTTGAGCTTTGTGCACTCTGAGCACTCAACCAATTCCGGGCATCCCCCCTTTCTGAGATGCCGTCTGCTGGGAGAGGCAAAGCTTCTGCCCTCACTGCATTGCTGCTCTGCAGTAATGCTGGGTCATGATCCTTCTCCCAGAGCAAACAGCTCGGCATTGTTGTCACTAGTGCTTTGCAGAGCCAGTCACCGCCTTGTTTTCTGAGGTTTCCACCAGGGAGGGGCACAGAAATTCGAACAAGGGGCTGCGTGGGGTGATGGACAGCATAGAATCATACAATCGTAGGCTCACAGATTTATTTCGGCTGAAAAAGACCCTAAGATCAAGCACAACCTGCACAACACGGGCAGTGGGGTCGGTGTTTCTTGTAGAGAGGTTTGAGATCACTGAATGACAGGCTGTGCAGAAGCACATTAGCAATTAGTCAGTGATTATCTAAGATGAGGATAAAATGGTACTCCCTGGGGGTTGGGTAGAAGTGTCTCCTTCCACTGAGGGTGTTTATTCAGTTTAAAGGAAAGTTTGGATGGATCTCAGGAAAGAATGGGAAATCCTCAGCACACATTTAGTGCTGTACAACCAGAGCTCTGCCTCTTTAAACTACATCTTGCCAGCAGATTATTAAATCCTTTAATCTCTGAGCAACGACGCCAATCTGGTTGCCTTACAGACGTTGCTCACACCACATCTGTTGAAACCCCAACCCAAGATAAAAGCCCAGAGCCTCCCACATGACTGTCAGCAGCCCCTCCTCCCCTGTCCCTGCTCCCCTGGGGTGGCATCAGAGATGAGGAGGGAACAGGGGATTAGGGAGAGATGGGAACAGCCCCGAGCCCCATGTCCTGGTGGTTGTCCAGCCATGGGATCATAGAATCATAGAATCATTCAGGTTGGAAAAGACCTCTCAGATCCCAAGTCCAACCCCTACCCAGCCCACCGTGCCCACTGCCCACGTCCCTCAGTGCCACATCCCCACGTTCCTTGAACACCTCCAGGGATGCTGACCCCACCACCTCCCTGGGCAGCTGTGCCACTGAATCACTGCTCT